ACCTACCAGCAGCACTTCTGACTTGTCTGGATTGATCCTCAGTTTATTGACCCTCATCCAGACCATTATCGAGTCCAGGCACGAGTTCAGAACGGTGACTGCCACATCTGGATTGGTAGAGAATGAGAGGTAGAGCTGGGTGTTGTCAGCATATTGCTGACTCCTCAGCCCAAACCTCCTAACGAGGTTTGAAACAGAGCCCCAGTGCAAATTTACCATATTGGATATTTACAATATCTTTTAAATCAAAGAGCTAAATAATGTCTTTTATTGCACTGATTTTTATTTCAGTTTTGAAGTACACATACCATATTTTTCCATGTATAAGACACTACTTTTTCCTAAAGTTGAGGTTTGTCTTATTCACAGAAGTAAGCTGAGGAGAGGTTTGAAACAGAGCCCCAGTGCAAATTTACCATATTGGATATTTACAATATCTTTTAAATCAAAGAGCTAAATAATGTCTTTTATTGCACTGATTTTTATTTCAGTTTTGAAGTACACATACCATATTTTTCCATGTATAAGACACTACTTTTTCCTAAAGTTGAGGTTTGTCTTATTCACAGAAGTAAGCTGAGGAGAACAAAATGGCCCATACCTTGCCTCTGCAAACAGGCTTCCTTCAATCATGAGGCTTAGCTGCCTCCAATCAGGAGACTTAGCTTCCTACAGTCAAGAGGCTTAGCTTCCTCCAGTCACAAACCTTCTATAACTGATGTCAGCTGATGCTGAACAAACCAATTGCAACAGTGCGCCAATGAAATAGGGACTCCTGTCCGAGCATTCTCAGTCCAGAGGCTTAATAAAGTTAAAATGTGATGCATAATATGACAGTACTGGTATGTAAATGTTACCTAATTACTAAATAAAAATGTGTTCCGTTTTATGTTTAAAATATTGATTTCTTAATTTTGAGTTAGACAAGTGTACACTCTACTGGGCTTTTTCCTCAAAATAATGAAGAAGTAGCTAAAGGGCTGATAAAGCTACTACACAGAGGTTGCTCAGGATTCTACCCATAGGACCCACTCAATACAGTATTCGTAACCATAGTGGATAACGTATGTACAATATTGACAATCTTTGCTGGTGGCTACCAGCCTTGTTAATTTATAAAAACTGCAGCCCACCTTCCAAAAGCTTGGCCCCCTGTTGAGCTTATAAGCAATTAAAAAGAAAATCTGCAATAAAATCACAGGGAAAACATGCAGTTAATAATGAGATCTAAGCCAGAAAAGAACAACAATAGTACAGACTACAGCAGCAAGCATCATAATTAAAACAAGCCAGACACCTGGCAAAATTGAATGGACGTGCTGGTATAGAGTTTTTCCACACATACTGACAATCCACATCTTATTAAGTTTGAATGCGGTTAGAACTGGTCCAAAAGAAATTCCAACTGCATCCACAAGATGGTAGCAGTGTTTTGAGTTTTGAGTCACACAGAAGACAACAATTTTGCAGAGTAAGCAGGTGTACTAAGGCCTACTGAATCCAATGGATGCAATCTAAATTGTAATCCTTTGCATGTCTACCCTGAACTACTGCTGCTGCTACTCTGAACTAAAATTCCTCTAATGTAATGAGAATTAGTCTTAAGTGTGTATTATTTGGGTTGGACTTGGTTCAGTCACCAAACCAAATGGACAATGCAGCTAAGAAATAAGAAGCTCAGAAGCAGAGTTATGAAAGTAATAAAAAAGATCCTAAAGTATAAGAATTCATCACTGGAAACCAGGGCCAAGATCAACCCACATTATTGTATTCCTGAATCCCAATTACTATGTACAAATGTGAAAATAGACAGTGAGGTAGACAGAAAAGAAATAATTCAAAATGTCGCATTGGAGGACAGGTTACAGATTCCATGGACTGCCAGAAGGACATATAAGTGCAGCTATCGTGTTTCCCCGAAAATAAGACCTAACCTGAAAATAAGCCCTAGTATGATTTTTCAGGATGCTCATAATATAAGACGTACCCCCCAAATAAAGTGAAACCCCGCCCTCCACCATTGTGCAGCAACCAGAAGATGACATGGCTTTATTTGAATAAATGTAGAATGTTGTACATGAAAAAAATAAAACATCCCTTGAAAATAAGCCTTATTGTGTTTTTGGGAGCAAAAATTAATATAAGACCCTGTCTCATTTTCAGGGAAACATGGTAGATCAAATGAAGGCTGAGCTCTCTTTCGAAGCAAAAATACCTACCAATACAGTACCATTGTAGTTTGGGCATATCAATGACAGAACAAGGCTTAGTAGAAAATACTATAATGCTAGAAAAAGTCAAAGGCAGCAAGAAAAGAGAAAAACCAAATGTGAGATGGAGTAACTGAACAAGCCATCGCCTTGAGCTAGCAAGAGGGCTCTTAATTATAGGATATTTTGGATGTCCCACATTCATAATAATAAATAACCATGTGCCATCATGTCAATTCTGACTTATTGTGACCTTTTTCAGGGTTTTCCAAATATAGAATACCCAGAAATGGTCTACCATTCCCTTCTTCTGGGGCACCCTGGAATCGTTCAGCTTTCCCAAAGACACACAGGCTGGTTCTACTCACAAAAGGCGCAGTGGGGAATTTAATTCCCAACAATACTTAAACCACTGAGTCATTCAACCACCATAAATTGGAGGCAACTTCATAGCACATAACAAGCTTGCAGAGGATTACAGACATATTCTCTTATAAATATGTTTTAGACTGCAACATTAAGCAATTCTTACATGCTAATTTGAAGATGAACTGTAAATGAACACTCTAATACTAAGTTGCTGATACTCTGACTTTATATGCATCTAGACAAAAACAGCAAATACAGTATTGACAATGAATTGATGGATTTCTAAAATAAATAATTATACTAGTGATGGCAATAATTTAAAAATAACAAATATATACCTTCAATGTTCTGTGGGCCTACTAGATTCATGGCCTGGTGTGCTGGATATTCAACTCTAGGCCTAGCAATGCCCAGTTGCTCCATTACCCCATGAAGAAGTCTTTGGATATCAGCTTCTGAAACTCTGTCTGGGCTCCTGGGACTGTGACTAAACGTCACAGCTAGTCTAGAGGCCAGAAGAAATAATATGCTCGGAAGCAAGGCTGAAGTCATGGTGCTGTGAGTCTCTTTTAACCTGTGTCAACAGAACAAGAAATAAGTGAATGATGGTATGAAATACTACGCGCCCTTTCACTTTTATTTGATTCAATTCTCAAAGACAACACTGAGGACTGCCAGGGAAAATCTGTAGCTTCGGGCATATTATAAGGTTTCCCCTTAGTGCATGCAAAGGACTTTGAAACTTGGAGGTGTCACATGCAAGTTAAGTATTCAAGTAATATTAAGCAGAAATTTAAAAACTCTGTGAAAAAAGGAGCCTGCAACTAGACACACATTATCCTCTCTTTATCTGACCATTATGTCAATTTATTTTACTGTGTGGCTTACAAAGAAGAAATACTACCGTGTCTCGATGTTTATAAATCATGACCTACATAAAGTTTGTAATTTTCTTCCTTTACAACAGTATTATTTTTCCAGGAAATACCTTATGATTCAGAAAAAGCACATGTAATCAGGTTGATCCATAAGAATTATACACATGTATCTGTACTAAAAGCAAAGCCTTTATTATAGCCAAATAAAAATCACATAGCAATATACAAGCTTTTGAATTTATCTAAGTTCTTGCTTAAGCTTTATATTAAACAAAACATATAAAGAGACGGGGAAAGTAGAGTGACAGCATGTTTATTCCAAAATAAACCCTATTGTACTCAACAGGATTCACATCCAAGGAAATGTGTGTAGGACTGAAGTCTTTAAAAGCTGCTGGGCATAAGGCACACCATATAATGAATCTGCCTACATAATATTAGTTAACTATGATTGAGAGAGCATTTTAAAGTAGAGGAATAGCTCCATAATTCACATTTAACCTTAAAATAACCATTTGAAGGAGGAGACAATATTATCTTAGAGAGCAGAGGCTCTCTGATGGAGGCAAAACTATTTATTTAT